ATAACAAGTCCACTGCTTTCCCCTCATCCACAGAGCAAGTTATCTTGTCATAGAAGGGAATTAGCTTAGTCAGTAATGACTTGCCCTTGGTGAATCCATGCTGACTGTACCTGATCACTTTCCTCCCCTCTAAGTGCTTCAGAGTTGATTCCTTGAGGACCTGCTCCATGGGACTTTTCCAGGGACTGAGGTGAGGCTGACTGGCCTGTAGTTCCCCGGATCCTCCTTCTTCCCTTTTTTAAAGATGGGCACTACATTAGCCTTTTTCCAGTCCTTGGGACCTCCCCCGATCTCCATGAGTTTTCAGAGATAATGGCCAATAGCTCTGCAATCACATCCCCCAACTCCTTTAGCACCCTCGTATGCTGCACATCCAGCCCCATCGACTCGTGCTTGTCGAGCCTGACTGTGAACCATTGATAACTACTCTATGGTAATGGTTATCCAACCAGTTATGCACCCACCTTATAGTAGATTCATCTAGGTTGTCTTTACCTAGTTTGTTAATGAGAAGGTCATGCGAGACTGTATCAAAAGACTTACTGAAATCCAAATGACAGGTTTCAGGGTAGCAGCCGTGTTAGTCTGTATCCTCAAAAAGAACAGGAGTACTTATGGTACCTTAGAGACTAACACAAAAGCTTATGCTCTAATAAATTTGTTAGTCTCTAAGGTGCCACAAGTACTCCTGTTCTTTTTGAAATCCAAATATATCACATCTCCACATCCCGTCTAGCCACATGGCTTTTTACCCTGTCAAAGAAAGCTATCAAATTGGTTTGCCATGATTTGTTCTTGACAAATCCATGCTGACTATTACTTATCATCTTCTAGATGTGTGCAAATTGATTCCTTAATTATTTGCTCTATTATCTTACCTGGTACAGAAGTTAAGGTGACTGGCCTGTAATTGCCTGAGATGTCCTTAGTTCCTTTTTTATAGATAAGCGCTATATGTGCTCTTTTCCAGTCTTCTGGAATCTCTCCAGTCTCCTATAACTTTTCAAGGATAATAGCTAATGGCTCAGATATCTCTTCAGTCAGTTTCTTGTGTATTCTAGGATGCATTTCATCAGGCCATGGCAACTTGAAGACATCTAACTTGTCCAAGTAATTTTTAACTTGTTCTTTCCCTATTGTAGCATCTGATGCTACCCCATTTTCACTGGCATTCACTGTGTTGGGCATCCAAACACCACCAATCTTCTTGGTGAAAACCGAAACAGAGAAGTCATTAAGCACTTCTGCCGTGTCCCCGGCCATCTCTGTATGGAGCTAGCTCTGAAAGGCAGAGCACCATGAGAAAAAATTTAGGTCCTTTTATGAGTAAAGAGCAGCATCTCCCTGATCTGTTTCTTCCTCATCCCATCGATGATGGGGTGTAGCAAGGGGGGCACCAGAAGGTACACATTGGCAATGAGAACATCATCATACTTGACTTGGCTGTTTGATTGGAAGTCCAAGGCTTGGTGGCTTTAAGGGAACAGTGTTTTGACTTCAGTATAAAGTATTGTGAAAGCTGTTTTGGTAAATCTAAGTATGAGAATAGCCACCCTCTTGGGGGATTGTCAGACCCATTGTTTGCAGTTTGTTCTAACTGAGCAATCTCAGTGTGGGTCCCCTGTGCCCCGGTCACTGCTTGCTATAACAATTCCTCTACTTTAGGTAGCACAAGAGGTACCCATATCCAGATAAACACACAACACCACCTGTACACCATTCCCTGCTTCATTGATCATAAGAACAGAAGAATAGCTATACTGGGTCAGACCAAAGATCCATCTGGCCCAGAATCCTGTCTTCCAACAGTGGGCAGTACCAGGTGTTGTAGGGGAAATGAACAGAACAGCTAATTGTCAAGTGATCCATCCCCCCTCAACCATTTGCAGCCTTTGGCAAACAGAGCTTGGGACATGATAGAATATCAGGGTTGGAAGGGACCTCAGAAGGTCATGAGGTCTAACCCCCTGCTCAAAGCAGGACCAATCCCCAGACAGATTTTTTATCCCAGTTCACTAAATGGCCTCCTCAAGGATTGAACTCACAAGCCTGGGCTTAGCAGACCAATGCTTAAACCACTGAGCTATCCATCCCCCATTACCTTACCCCTGCCCATCCTGGCAAATAGTCATTGATGGACCTATCTTTCATGAATTTCTCTAGTACTTTTTTGAACACTTTTATTGTATTGGCCTTCAGAACATCCTCTGGCAAAGAGTTCCACAGCTTAACCTTGAGTTGTGTGAATAATTCCTTTAATTTGTTTTAAACCAGGAGGCAATTAATTCCATTAATACCGTATATAAAAATACAAAAAAAAATCATATTGCTTCTAGATAAACCCATGGTACACCAACATATTGAATACTGCATGCAGACCTGGTAGCCCAACCTGAAAAAAGATATATTAGAATGGGAAAAGTTAAAGTCCAGTGTCACATGAGCTGGTCACATGCCCTTGTATGCGTCTATGAACCATTATTGGAGATTTTTAAGCACAGGTTAGACAAACACTTGTCAGGGCTGGTCGAGATAATACTAAATGTGGTAAGTATGGAGGTGCCATGGTGTTGCTTTGGGGCGCAGAATGTCACACTTCCCACCTTAGTTTACTGCAGGAGTGTTGGTCACTAAGTAATGTGGAGCAAGGTTTTGAACATACAACTAGGAAGAGTTGCAAAACATTGTAGTATATACCTTTGAACACTTTATAGATCAGCCTAGTGATGTCAAAAGTCAGCAAGTGTGCCTTCTCTGGGTCATTAGAAAACATTCATCTCTTTGTATCTGTGCAACATTTTTAACCATTGTCCTTTTCCAACAGTTGATAATGCAATAAATATATTCATCAGTGGAATGAGCTGCTGTACCTCAGTCTCCCCTTCCACACAGCAGACTAGGTTTATTATGGTTTTCCTGCTGTAACAGGCTTTGTGCCTGTGTACAGGTATTAGATGAGAAGCAGTATCCCCATAGCGCTCCTTGTTCACTACTCCAAGCATGCCCAAAAGCTTTTCCCAAGAATTTTGCATGTTACACCTTTTTTAGGATTTATGATCAGAATCAAATTCTCTGTTATAATGTTTACCATTAGCAACAAACTTTGCATCATGAGATTTAACAATAACACCAACAGAGTTTGGGACATCACCACTGCCCATCCTGGAAAATGGCCAATGATGGATCGATTGTCCATGAATTTATCTAGTACTTTTTTGAACCCTGTTATAGTATTGGACTTCAGAACATCCTTGGGCAAAGAGTTCCACAGGATAACCATGAGTTGTATGAATAATTCCTTTGCTTTGTTTTAAACAAGTGGCCGATTAATTCAATTAATATATAAAAATATCACATTACCTCTATATAAACCCATGGTACACCCAGATATTGAATACTGCATGTTGATCTGGTAGCCCAACTTCAAAAAGATATATTAGAATTGGAAAAGTTACAGAAAAAGGCAACAAAATGATTAGGAGTGCAGAACAGCTTCCAAACGAGGAGAGATTAATAAGACTGTCTATACTCAGCTTGGAAAAGAGACAGCTGGGGGGCGGTATGAGAGAGGTCTATAAAATCATGAATGGTGTGGGAAAATCGAATATGGAAATGTTATTTATTCCTTCAAATAACACAACAACTGGAGTCAAGTATTAGGGGGTAGCCGTATTAGTCCGTATCCACAAAAACAACAAGGAGTCCAGTGGCACCTTAAAGACTAACAGATTTATTTGGGCAGAAGTTTTCATGGGTAAAAAACCCACTTCTTCAGATGCATGGAGTGAAAGTTACAGATGCAGGCAGTCTATAATGACAAGAGAAAGGAGTACCTCACAAGTGGAGAACCAGTGTTGACAGGGCCAACAACTGGAGGTTACCCAAGGAAATTAATAGGCAGCAGATTTAAAAAAAACAAACAAAAGGAAGTATTTCTTCACAATCAACCACTGGAACTCCTTGCCAGATGATGTAGTGTGGATCAAGACTATAATAGGGTTCTAAAAAGAACTAGATAAATTCATACAGGATGGGTCAATCAGTGACTATTTGACAGGATGGGCAGGGATGGTGTCCTTAGATTCTGTGTACCAGAAGCTGGGAATGAGCGACGGGGGATGGATCACTTGATGATTACCTGTTCTCTTCATTTGCTCTGGGGCTCCTGGCATTGACCAAAGTCAGAAGAGAGGATACTGGGGTGGATGGACAATTGGTGTTACCCAATATGGCTATTCTGATATTCTTATATAGACAGCAGATGTATCTGCGACCTCCTGTAACCCACTACACCCCACTCCCCTCCAGAGCTGAGATAGAACCCAGGAATCTGATGGGGTTTCTCTCTCCAAAAAACTAACAAAGTAAAAACATATATTAAAATTAAACCTAACCAATGTCCCTTAAGTGATTTGCCACAAGACTGTGGAAAATGTATTAGAGCTGGGTGGGTCTAACATTTATTTATTTTTCTTTCTTTCATACAGGCATTAGATACAGTGCTCCTGTCAGCTACCTGTAAGTTTTCTGCCAAAATTTTAGAGTTTTTAAGAGCCTAAGTAGACTGTGGAATCATGGTTAAACTCCCTTCCCCTAATTCCCCCCTCCCCCGAAACGGCTCCCTTGCAGCTGTGGAGGTCGGGGGGAGGGACATGGAGATGATTCAGCAAGTGAAAAAGGGAGGGGAAGAGAGGAGAGGATCGATCGACAGGGAGGTCCTGCGGAGAAGAGGCAGAGCAGGGATGGGGCCTTCTTGGAAGTATGGCAAAGGGTGGGGCCTTGGTGGTCTAGTTAAAAGCAATAAGAAAGGTGGCAACACCCTGGGTTATATATAGACCGATTCCCCAGTTTGTCATGTTGACACAGCACAGTAATGGCAGTAAAGTGTTTAATATCCTTTGACAGCCCAGTCAGTGATTCAGGGAAGAGGGCCCAGAACTATGTCACCAACCAGCTCTGCACAGGGCTCGGTCTGAAAATCTGAGCATCAGAAGGAAACTTTAGGTCCTTTTATGAGTAAATAGCCATAGCAACCTGTCCCGGATCTGTTTGGTCCTCACCCCGTAGATGATGGGGTGTACCAAAGGGGACACAAGGAGGTATACACTAGCCATGAGAATGAGGCAATACAGGGGCATAGTGTTATCAATCCGCTGCATGATGGAGGAGAAGAGATCTGGAATGTAAAAGACTAAGATGGAACAGAGGTGGGAGCTGCAGGTCCCAACTGTCTTGAGCCGGGCATCCTTTGTGGGCAGGCTGAAGATGGCCCTGAGGATCTGGATATAGGACAGAGCAATAAAAAACACATCCATACTGGGCACAAAGAATGTCACAGAGAGGCTGTAGTAACTACTGGCACGGACGTCGGCGCAGGCCAGCTTCACCACAGAGATGTGCTTGCAGTACGTGTGGGGGATGATGTTGGTCTTGCAATATGGCCACCGACTCGCCAACAAAGGATATGGCAGTACGAGTAAGCAGCCACGCAGCATCACGGCCAAGCCAATCTTCACCACCACGCTGTTTGTCAGGATGGTGGAATGTCTCAGGGGATGGCAGATGGCCACATAGCGATCAAAAGCCATGGCCACGAAAATCCCAGATTCCATTGCTGCAAAGCAGTGAATGAAGTACATCTGGGTGAGGCAGGCACTGAAATCGATCTCCCTGGAATTGAACCAGAAGATGCTCAGCATTTTGGGCAGGATGGACGTGCACAGGACCAGATCGGTGATGGCCAGCATGCAGAGGAAATAGTACATGGGCTCATGGAGGCTCGACTCCCTCTTCACAATGAACAGGATGGTGAAGTTCCCCAAGATGGCTATGGTGTACATGGTGCACAGAGGGATGGAGATCCAGACATGAGCCACCTCCAGGCCAGAAATGCCCAACAGGATGAAGGAAGAGGGGTTTGTGAATTCGGTTGTGTTGGAATCTGACATGCAGTAGGGGTGAAGGTGTCCAACTCTGAGGCTGAACGGTGTCTTCTGCATATACCGTATGTTCCCCTGACTTCCTGTATGTGCCCAGGGTCTAGGCTTATGGTTGCAGTACAAATGCCTAGATGGAGAGACAATGTTAATATGGGACACTACATGCACTATTGGAGGTTGTTGTCATGGGTGAAGCAGATAAGTTGCTCTTCACACACAGAAAAATGATATTTTCCTTATTCAGAGAAATGAATTATGAACAACTGACCCTACCAATGCCAATTCCATACATGATGGTGCTCCATTTCACAATAATTCTAACAGATTGTGATGTGGGAAACGTTAATAGGCACCCACAGCAAACAGGATTGTGCATACTGGTTATCCCTCATTTTTCCTTAATGCAATGAAATCCAGGCTAGAGAATCCATGCTGTAGGGATTTCCAAATTAACATGGTTGCTAAAAATCTGAGAGTGGAAAATAACCAAACCTTTGTGTAGTCATGTGGCAGGGGAAACATCCCAGCTAGAAAACACCTCGGGGAAAAGACCTGGGCTCCACGGAAACAGCGGCTCGTTCCAGTAATGGCCAAAAGAAAGAATATGCAGATGCCTAAGGAATGAGGACAACAACCTGCTTTGGACATGCCCTCAGTGTTGGTCACCAAATCTCTATAAAGAATATAGCAGCTAAAGAGGGAGTTTCCAATACAGTCTATGAGAATGGGAGACTCCCCTAGAGCAACCTACTGAAAATCTAGGACAGTTTATTTTAGAGAAGAGAGAAACAAGGGAGCATATGATACAGGAGAGGAAAATGAAGAATGGGACTTTTACATTCAAATGGACAAAGAGAGAACAGTTCCCAAGCAATAATATCTCTAGACACTTCATGTTTTAAAAGTGTTAATTGTCCTAAAATGAAGCAAATTATGAGCTAAATGGATTGGGGGGGAAATTGAAACAGGAAAATGGGAATGACAATTGGGAGTTCTTTAGTGGAGTTAATTAGGGAGCTAAAAAGCCTTGTGGTGAAAAAAGTGGACAACTTTGGCTAAAAACCTGGTTCAGTGAGAAAGGGGAGGCAGTAACTGGGGTGAGGGGGAGCGGGAAAAAGGAAATATATATGGCAAGCAATACAAATGGGATGTTATCAAAATTGGAAAGGGTTGTTAAAAAGAATAGGGAAAAATCAATGTTTGACAGAGCTACATATCACAAAAAGGAGGTTATTAAGTACATTGAGAAGAAAAGAAATCCCAGAAAGGTTTTACACCAATTATGAG